TTTTTAATTATAATTTAAAAAATGACATAAAAGCAGTAAAGCGTGCCATGTCTTGCATCCGGCGAGGCATAACCCGTTATAGCCGGTGCAATGCGCTGTCGTTTGCCGTCACATGAAAGGACGAATACCATAAACACTATCACGGACACCACCCGCTGTATGGATGACATACATAGGACTAGGATCTTAGACTAGTCAGTTCCCTTTAGAACACTCATTTATCTTGCCATATCGTTCCTTCTCATTTTATATCTTCTGCTTTGTAGTTGTCGCCTTCATAAGAAATATGACAATCTCTTAAGAACAATATTACCCATAATTATGACAAACGCCTAAGTTAAAAAAATATAAGATCCGTCCACAATGGCTCTTTAAGTCATTAAAATTTTAATAGTATCCTTTTTAAGCACTGCATTGTTTAAATTTAATATAGACCTCACGCTGGAATTGCCGTTTGTGGACTTGTCGGCTCAAAGAGCTTAAACAATTGAATTTTAGAGCTCTTTCAACTTAATCTATCTGGTCAACAAATTCGGCAGCGTCGCCAGCAGTGCGAATAACTGCCACATCTGGTTTTATCCATCACGTACTAAGTTGAAATGTTTGCCAAATGTTCACCAATTGTACTTTTTGTTTGACTAAGATAAGGTACACATCTTACTATTTTACTAGTATTATAAATGCGAAATTTTAGATAGATGGATGGATGCATAGATGTTTCTTTTAAGGTATCTCCTGAACATCTCAACGGATTTTGATGAAATTTGGCACACATGTAAAATATATTCTAGAAGAACACAAGAGTGAGTCGTGGGCGACAGCTAGTATTTTAATATTAACCTTGTAAAGATGTTCAATTTGTAAATTAGAGAGACCGCCTATACCGACTTCAAACTGTAAAATAATGACGAAAATTATAGACTAAATTAATTACAATGACAAAGTCGTGTTGTCAAATAATTAGCAAATTAATTTAAGCATATTAAATATACAGATATAATAAATTTTATACGTTAATATGTGCAACAAAAGTAATTTATTCGAATAGGCGTGTTTTCACACGTGGCACTCAGCTTAATTGCTAAGCCAATAATAGTTTATTGCTGGGTTTATAATGTTGAGTTCAACAACCGAGGGAAGTGTAACCAACCTGAGTAACGCACCAATCGTCAATATTTGGCAGATGGAGAACATCTCGTAAGACGTCTGTTTCTTTGCCTTTGATAATAACATAGATCAATGTTTTATAAATTGACTGAAATACTCTCATAATATGTTGTGTTATACATTTTTATAATAATAGTTATAATAAACAAATTAGCTCGATCGTTTATGCCCCGTGGCATTCCGCGAAAGATATGAATAATTGACTCCGCAAAATAGGTTCAACCGCCAAGCCAATTAATTTTATTTTTCTATCCACGCTTTTGGAATCCGGCAAGTAAACATAGATTAAGAGAAGCTTTTGAAAGGTTTATAAGTCGTAAATTTACCAAATAATCAACTTAAAACAATGATTTTAAATTCTGAATAATGTACTCGTAATATTCTATAATAACTTTTAAAAAGCATACAATATCACGTCATGTTTGAAATTGATTCTTGGGTGAAATGAAAGGTTTACTCGATTGTGTGTTCTTTGGCGTTTTTGTGTGCTCTGTGCTGTTGTGTGTTTTCAGGGATTTGTTTGACGTCAATCAACGCCGGGTGGCGCGGCTGTGCGGAGCGCCGGCCTGTCAATGTGTCATTGACACTGAGCCAAATTTGTTTAAGCTAGAATTTCCGTTAGGCGTATAGACAGATGTGCTTGAAGCTTTTATAGTGAAAATCTAGGCCATTACGTATACACAAAAAGTAAATCATCCCACATACTACGAAGAGCTAACAATACTTTTTATGTAAACTGAAAAATTGTTCAATTACATTACAAAGGCTATGCAATAACTTCATAGTACGACATGCGTTTTAAGAATTTTAAACTTAAATATAGCTAAATAGATTCAAAAATGTTTATCATCATAATCCTTACTGATATTATAATCTACATTATATTTATATATATATATATATAAACGGGTTTACCGATATGGCTGAAAATTGGTGAGGAGGTAGCTTAGAGCCAGGAGACGGACATAGGATACTATTTATTCATTTTTTTTCGAATTTATGCCTTGAAGAGTTGTTTTTTATTTAACTTACTAATATTATAAATGCGAATGTTTCGATGGATGTGATGTGGATGGATTGAAGGGTGGGCTACACTAATTAACTTTTTATATATCCACGCGGACGGAGTCGCGGGCGACAGCTAGTATCTTATAAACCAATCATTCGTATTATTTTTTAATTTTAGATTTATTAAATAATAAAATTTTAAACGACAATATCGTTTTTAAGTGTCATTTAGATTTATCGTTGTCAATAGGCAATGTTTTGTTGTTTATAAAAAGACCGGTCGTAAGTTACCGATGCTTGTTACAGCAAGTAATAAATCATTAGAGTCATTAAAAGTTGCCAGCAACTCATAAATAATGCATTAATTTCATTAAATACTAATTATTGTAACACTTTCATGTTCAAATAATTTATTCAATCGAATATAATTATGATAACATTTATTTAATCTACCGCAAAATTGACAAGTATTGAAAAAAATAGGTTAATGGGATTTTAATGATTTCTATTATACAATCGTAATAAACATCTAATGGCAGGTATCAAGGTTTCTTGTCACTGTTTGATCTGAGATGCTTCAGTATTTGCTCAGGTTTTACTGTTTGAAATTCGAATCCCAATATGTACTTAATTACTTCCTTGCCTTTACTATTATCGTATTCACTTTACCTTCTACTTATTCTCTACAAATGTACTTAGTTTTCAATTCAAAAAAGTAAACACAAATTGTGATAGAATAATAATCCAAATTGTATATCTCACGTAGGACAAGCATTTGTAACACGAAACCATTCCTAGAATTCTTTAACATTAAACAATGGAATGACCTAGTTCAACACAACATCCGCACAATCGGAACGACAAGCTAAAATATGGAATCTCGCCAAATAGCCGAAAGTGAAGCCTGGGAATGGGCGCATTGTATCTATACGTATAATAGTAAGAAATCAGCATTAATACATTTCAAACAAATTGAAGCAAATTTAAACGAAGACGTCCAAAGATTTTCAAAAAGCTGAGTGACATTAAGATGCGCCTGAATTTGTTATCTATAGTCCGGTCAGTGCATTAAAGTTTATACTGCGACCGCATCATTTTAATATCTGCATGGCATTGACGCGGTGCAAGCAGCGAGGGGAAAGCGAAGTGTGCTGAATTGATAGCAAACAATGCTAGTCTTACTTCGCTTGAATATTAAGTTTGTTTTGAGCTTAAGCTTTTCCTTTGTTGAAATGTTGGCCAATAGAATATAACTAAAGGGCTGAATGCAGACTTGCAAAATACAGAGTTTGAGGGGGATCTAACGATAAAATTAGTTAGATCGTAAACTCTTTGAAAAGTAGATACTTTATTGACTTTAAAAAATATCTTCAGTTAGGTTTTTGTTTAAATATTTGTTTTTTATAGTTCTGTAGAACCTTCGCAGTGACTTTAGGGATCAGTTCGATTAAGGCCGGCACTGTAGCTGTCCGTGGACAAACACGTGCTTTGTACCTCTGCCAGACCGCGCGGCGTGGCTAATGACACGTCAGCCTCTAGCAAATGTTCCTAGACTACGATAGGGCTGTCACTAATAGATTAATATTATGTTCAATAGTGTTTTTGTTATTGGATAAAAGTGTTTTTTTACCCTACAAAATTATATAAAGACCTTTGATTTATTCAGAGTTCAGTTATATTTCTTAAATAAAATAACAGCTCATTTAAAATGTACAAGGAAACTTTTCAACCGTGAAGAATAGTTTAACGGGCATTCGAAATATTTCGCTATTTTTCTTTTTTATTCTCTGCTTCATCTTTTAGGTTTTTTTAAGTAAACCAAAAATAACTATTTTAATACTAAAGTTTTTAACTTTGGATTCTTCGACCTAATATTTTGAAGGTCCTATGAAGATGAAAATGTTTTGATTCCTATGTGAATACAAAAATATTTTTTTATTATTAATAAATTTATGTTGAAGTTCAAAATTCCGAAACCTTTGTATCAATTTAACATCCAGTCCATGAAGCCGCTACATTCATTGTGTTTAATATAAATAGAATTGAAATATTCCATTAGATAACAATGGCAGCCCTAATTAAAATGATCAAAGTTATACCGATGAGATAGCCCCCAGCAAATTATAGAGCGACGACCTCACTCGCGCCGGCTCGTATTCTCGGATCCGATGCAATGTCCGAGGAATTTATTTAGAGCCCTACTTTCAAGTGGCTGTTTTATCATAAGTGGCGACGCATCGATACTGCACTCTTCATGTGCGAGCGATCGCCTTCTTATCAGACATTCGTGTTAACTTTATTGCGATTATAAGCTAGTCAGTAAACAACATATTGGTCACGATTGTTCTTTGTTTACGAAAACACACTACGCAATACTAGCCACTAATAATACGCTTCTATCCTAGGCCCTGAACTACAAATGAATATAAACAAATAGGAATGATAAAGCCATACAACTTTAACTGTAACATAATAAGGTAATCTTAGCAAAGCGTTTATATTTATACGTCAATGTTAACGTGCATAAGTACAACTCGATTATTTGTACGGGCAGTTTAAAATAAAATACTACTACTTAAGTTGTATGCAGCCATTGTACAATTAACGGTTTACAGAATAAGCGAATGGGGAACAATAGCAATAGGCTCCCTAGAGATGGTTGCGTCGTGACCCGGGGCCCAGGGGTGCGCACAATGAACAGGCCGCACAATGCCGTCGCATCCAACCGATTGCTTGGCAGGCCGCATAAGACTCGCCGCCAGCTACTATTCGCCCCATTTGTTTCTTAATGAAAAAAAAAAATACTATTTTATCTTTTGTTACAGAATATGTGACTCAAATCGAAGAAATGGAGGAGGAAAGTGCTGTTAGTGCAAACGAAGTCCGCGAGGCATCGCTAATTGAGGCGGAGTCATCGATCACCGACATCGTTCCCGAAAAAGAATCTAACCTCACCTCTACTGAAAATCAGACGGACGTCAGCTTGTGTGTTAACAATAAAGACGAGAGTGGGGTCGTGCTAGACGGTTTCGACGACAGTAAAAATGTGACGGTCGAGTCGATTATAGACAATGACGCCTGTGAAGCGATCGACGACGCGAGGTCGTTGGGGGATATGGACAGCCTGCCCGCCGGCGACGAGCTGGTGCTGGGCGCGGCCGGCAGCGACAGTGGCGTGGAGGGCTGCGGCCGCGCGCTCAGCAGCGGCGGCGGCTCGCGATCCTGCGCCTCCAGTGTTGTCTCCTGCGGCTCCGGCTGCGGCTCCGAGAGCTCTTCGTTGGCGGGAGCACCGCTACGCACTCGCCGCCGCGTAAACGTCACCGTCATTGAGGCTAAGAAGAGCTCGCCCGTCGGATCGTCCACGCCCCGCCCGACTACGGCGCCGAGAGGTCCCAACCTGGCGACACGGGAGCGCGCGAGGAGTAGAGAAAAACCGACGCCGCCCGAGAAACCGCGGCCGCTCACACCGAAGCCTCGAATGCGCCCCACTGCCGACCTTCCCAATCTAGTCCGGGAGAGCCCCGCCTTGCGAGCTAAGCCCACAAAAACTTCCACGGCGAGGTGTCGGACGCCGAGTTCTCCGAGTGACGAAAAGAAATGGCCGACCAACGGTCCGAGGTTGACGCCCGTCTCGGATTCTGCGGGCGCGACCAGAGTGGCGGCGGACAAGTACGGCACGTTGCCGCGCAGGCGAAGAGACGCCGACGCGGAGAGTTCACCCAAGCACGATAGCACACCGCCAACTTCCCGCCGACCTACTGTCGCCCGCTCCGCCTCGTCGCGTTCCACACTCAGGACGAGAGTGCGCATCTACGCCGAGAAGAACTGCCAGACTGTGCTACTAGGAAACGATATTGAGTCAGCGTTAGCAGGGATCATTCCTAACATTGAAAGGTATAAAGACATACTTCAGCCAGTGATCAGGGATTCTACAAGGAACCATAATACAGCATTATCTTTACTGTGCTCGATATATGTATTACGTTATATATGTATTTGTTGTGTTTTGTAGCCGTATCGAAGTGTCGCGCTGTCACCGCGGCGTACAGGCAAGCGCCCGCGACGCCGAGCTGTGCCGGCTGGGCGCGGCGGCGGCGGCAGCGGAGGCGAGCGCGGCGGAGGAGCGCGAGCGCAGGCAACACGCCGAGGCGCAGCTGGCGGCCGAGCGCGCCGCGCGTCTTGCTGCCATCGCAGAGCTCGAGCGGAACTCGCAGCGCCTGCTTGAGCTCGCCGGAGCTGGTTCGTTACACTGCTGTCAGCTTTCATTTCCTAAACTAGTGCAAAAATTTTGTCCTCAAAAATTTCACAAATTGAATAACAATTACAAATAAATAAATACGAGTTATAACATGTCTATCCTTTTGAATTCAAGTTGCTACAATAGGCCGTGGCTTGTCATTCCTGTACACTACTGAGAAAATAGCTCTCAGCTGTGTTTGACATGCATTGTTGAGTTCTTACAACGTTTGAACTAGGATTTTAGTACTGAATAGCCACAACAGATGTCGTTCGCATACGATGTTTCTTGTTCGAAAATACATAGTTACTCAAATTTTTAAAACCAAGTATTTGGAGTGACGAAATTAGTCGATGATATTCTAAGGTGCCGCCGAGTAAAGTGCACTTATAGAGAGACATAGTATAAGTTAAGATGGTGTAGGTGCGGGGGCGGGTGCTGAGGGGTGCCTGCGCGCGCTGGAGGAGCAGCTGAGGTCAGCAAGCGAGCTGGCGGGCCGCCAGCGCGCGGAGATTGACGCACTCCGGGACCACTGCAACAAACTACACGCGGTAACTACATTACTATACTAATAAATAAATAAGGAAACTTTTAACTGGTTATTGTCTTCATCTACCAAAAGGCATAATCTTTCTCAAAATTGTAATGTGACTCCTGAGCTTTAGTTTCATGTTGAATTATCGATGTGTCCAGGAGGCGTTGAGCGGTCGCGAAGCGGCACGACTAGCAGAAGCGCGGCTGGCGGAGGCGGAGCGCGAGGCGTCCGAGATGCAGGACTTCCTGGCCGCGGAGACCGGCGCGCTCAGCGACTCGCTGCGGGAGGCCGACGCCGAGCTCGTCCGCCTGAGCACAGACCTCGAGCGCAGGTATACAACTATTAAACCTCTGTGCTATTAATAATCTTACACGACCATGCTACAAAAGTAACTGCAGTCCTCTTTGTACATTTCTCATACTAAATGTAAAGAACTTCCTCGACGACCAATGAATAACTCTGAGCACGGTAGTAAGAAATAGTTCTAATTGTGGTGAGTGTTGTGATTAATGATTTTGTAATGTGCAGGCGTGCGGAGTGCCGGCAGCTGGTGCGCATGTGCGAGCAGCGGCGGCAGGAGGCGCTGGCGGCGGCGGCGCGCGCACGCAGCGGGGGCGGGGCCGCGCCCGCACTGGACGCGCTTGCCCGCCGCCTGCGCGCCCTCACCGACGCCGTGCTGCGCGCCTACGCATTACCCCGTGACGCCTCGCTACCCAGTGTATACCATAACGACGCTTACAACAGGTACTAACACTTTCTTTTGAATAATATGGACAGAAAGTTTCTTGTAGCATATACATATCCTTCTATGTTGCTAGTAAACGACTCTTGTTCTTCCTAATATTTTCAATGTAGAACGAATATAACAATTGTGTTAAATTCGTGCAAAATAGAAATTTGAGTTTACTACTTTCATTATCCCTATTAGAATTTTAGAAATAAAAATTGAATGTTGCAGCCACAGTGACAGCGGTGAGCAGTTATCACCTGACGAGGAGGCGCGCGGTGGTCTGCTGGGCGCGATAGTGCGTGCGCTGCGTGCCGCGCCCACAGCCGCGCCTAGCGCCCACACCGCACAAGCTGCACCCGCACCCCCCGCACCACACGACGACGACCGCTCGCGCATCTCCGACGACAACGACAACTCCGCGGACCTGCTCGACTCGGAGACGGAGCCATGTCTTGTCACTGATCCAGGTCACTTACTATGCTTTTCTGTCTGTACCGCAAAAACTGGCATTTTTTAACAGACAAAAATTACAACGGGCAAAAAATTAACAATTTGCAAATAAATATTGGCTCAACTCAAATGCACTCGCAGATATAATCACTTCTAAACAGCTTCTGAATTGATCATACAGGCGAGTAATGTGAGTGATCTAAGTGCACTACAATTTTCTTGTCAAAGTTTCACATATCAAACTAACCCAGCTTTATAATACTACGCTTAATGCTTATTCAGTAGTTGATTCAGATGGCTTTCTAGCACATGGTGTAAGTTGTGTGTAGTTTTGACGGTGGGTTTGGTTGGGTAGAGTGCTTGGAGGAGTGGTGGTCGGGCGCGGAGGGTGCGGAGGCGGGCGAGGGGGGCGAGTACGCCGGCGTATGGAGCGGGGAGGAGCTCTCTCCCGAGAGGGAGTCCTGCGCAGACGACAGGGGTGAGTTACTAATGCCTCTGACTGTCTTCTGCTTCGCTGCTATTATACTAACTATGAACATGTTTCTATTTTCTTTTTAAAACACTTTTATTTATATATAACGTATTAAATTTTTTTACATACAAAGTTTTGCATGTAAAAACTAAATCCGACTCAAAGGACCAGATTAGAAGTGTATTTATTGTGTGTTATTAACCTAATATATAATTTTTCTTGCTAAAGGTTTGTGTTATAGTTAAAATTAGTTTTAACGTCGAGTATATATATATGATGTGCATACAGAGGGTGGGGAGGGCGAGTCTGCGTCCGCGTCTGAGCGCGAGTCTCTGCGCACGTTGTCAGCGGCGATCGCTCAGCGACAGCGGTCCGAGGCGGAGGCGCAGGAGGCGCAGGAGGCGGAGCGCGGCTCGCTGCTGGAGCGCGTGCTGTCGCTGGACGCGCGCCTCTCTGAGCTGCTGCGTGCGCTGCGACACGCCGCCGCCGCCGCCGCGCGACACGACGACACGCCCGCCGCCGCGCTCGCACACGCGCTCCGGTACACGCGACACACACACATTACTTAATCATCAAATCGCATTTTTATAAAAAACAATTTGATACCTTCACTCGTTTCTGAGAAAAAATGTCTTGACAGACAGACGGACGGACAGGGCAACAATGTCATCCTATAAGAGTTTTTTCCTCGAAGTACGGAACCCTACAAAGCACGTAACGAACCGATAGCAGACCTGGATTATTATTAAAATTGTAGAAAAGTAGCAAGACAACAGCTTGTAGAAGATGCATAAAATAATATTGTGTGCATAATAATTTTTGGAAATGCTAATCATCTTGTCTATTCGTATTCCAGAGAGAAGATCGACGTGACGGAGAAGAACGTGGCAGACGTGGTGGTGAAGAAGCTGGCGGAGCTGGATGCCAGCAGACACATGATGGAGCAGTACCGACACAGCGTTGAAGTTAGTCTCTCACTGCCTGCCCGCAAACATCACATGCCATCTACACCCCACATTACACTACAATTATATGTTAAAAGTTAAAAATATATATTTCAATTTAATATTATAATCTATGACATCCAATAATCCTATATTTAAGAAAGAATGTATCTTGGAGCATACTTTCTTCTGTGTTTTCTTAAGTTTTCGTTAAAAAAAAATATCAAAACAAAACTTAACAACTTTAGTATTTCGATTAAAAGCAAAAGCGTTGTTACACACATTAGTTTGTTAGTGCTGTTAACTGATTTAATGTGAAACAGGTATTTACACCATTCAGGCCCTGCTTGGCGATCTCGAGTCAAGAATAAAGAGCCAAGGTTAATGCATTCTTACGTTGACAAAACATAGCTTATAGTGCACCCCCCACCCTCCCCCCACACCTTCATACCTCCCCTCCACACACCCAAGCCCTCTGTCTAGTATGCTCTCTCACTTTACATATCTATTTTAATTTAATTAAGTAAATTATATTTAGATGGTATTTTTACTGGGTTATGACTGCTTCACACATATTGTCATCGCTCGCATTCTCTTTGATTAAACAGAGACAACAATATGTGTCAATACAAGTACAATTGCAGTTGAAACCCAAGTTTATATGTATAGTCAAACAAGGATATCAGACCCGATGAGGAAATCACTGTCATCGCCTTTAGTTCTGTCAGAAAATATGTAACATGGGCATAGAAATCAGCATAAAAGAAAAAAAAGAACATGACAACTATAGTGCGAAAAGGACTTTGTGACACAGTTTTTACATTGTCAGGAGGGCGCTAGTGAGCTGTCATAATTTAGTTGACTTATGCTGACCGGGTCTGATATCCTTGTCGGACTATAAGTGAGATATATTTCCTTCTTGACCTACTTACTATTTATTTCGATTTAGAGAGAACATACTCATTTCAGTATTAATTAATTATAACGCTGTCATATATTCAGCACATTGTAAATAATCACTGGGGATATTGAAATGGCACAAAATTAAAAATTTTGATCCACATCAGATCTCATCGATCCAAATGTTTTCTGACAAAAATAGCTTCAAATAATTTAACTTCTCTGTGTATCCTGTTACGATGGTACAGTCGTAAAAGCTTGTCTATATATGTATTATCACATATAGATTGCTTGCAATGTATTACTCAAATGTTTGCTATTAAGCTTATAAATTGTAAATATTGTACAAGAAATAAACCTGCATAGTATTTTACTAATATCCATAATGCCTTTCAGATGCTAAAAAAGCAGCTGGCTCAGTCCGGTGAAGAGGAGGAAATTAATTTTATTGAGGAGGTAAATAAAACAAAATTCAAAAATTAAGCCTTCATTGTGCCTATGTGATCTTCTAGACTGTGTTCCACATCCACGCCAAATTTCATCGACATCCACAATCTATCCATACATCTATACTTTCGCATTTATATTAAAAATATGTTTAATCGTAGAAATGCTTCAAATTGTATTAAAAAGTTACTTTTACGTAGGTTTTGTAAAAGTAATGAGTGTTATATTGCAGGAGTTGGCGGGTTGCGGGGAGAACGAGCGTCGTCAGCGATACGAAGCGCTGGACGCAGCGCTAGGCGCGCTCGCCGCGGTGGACGGGTGGCCGCGTCTCGCAGCGCTGCAGCGCCGCCTCGAGCGCCTCGCCTTCGCGCTCGCAGCGCCGCCGCCGCCGCACTCCGCCTAGCTGCAGGTCACTGACCCCGCGCCCGCTCGCGCACGCATCAGCTGACACACGCTACACGTATCCAAAAGCGCGGGAACTTTCACAACGCGCGCGAAAAACTAAATATCATTCTCGTAAAGTACGTGAAATTTTACACAGTAAAAGTTATTGTGGAAAAGAAGTGAATAACGCTATTTTTAATTCGTTGATTGTGGTCCAATTACGACTAAGAGGCGACCGCTAATTATCAAGAAATAAGATTGAATATGATGTGTATTGCATACATATGCATGCATACATTGCATCTGCGATGGAATTGATAAATGACAGTCAATGTGTTTGCGTCCCGCAATATTCCGGTACCGAGTCATCCTATAGCATAAGGTAAATATTTTTGATGATGAATTCACTAATTACGTGTTAATTATTGAAGATGAAATTATTAAACATAGGTATAAGATATAAACGCCTATAGCTAAGTTAATTTCGGTCGTGTTGCCAACATAAATTAAGAAATATCGATGTGTCGATGAATGTTGCCATACGTGTTATTTATTTCATTTTGACATAATTGGGATAACTAATTAATTTGGGATTATTTTTCAAATTCTAATTAATATTAATAAATTTGAATCAAAAATCCCATAAAAAGCTGAAATATTTAACACAATTTCGTTATTCTGCAATAACGATTTTTCTAATTTGTTCTTACACCTACTTAATATTTGTAAAATAGAATTCTAATAAGTTACTGATACAACTAAAATATAGATTTGTTAAAAAAAACTGTTGAATAAACACCATTATCGAACATTGTCATTACAGCCAATGCGAAATTTTGCCAAATTATTGCAGCTTTAACACAAAAGTAATTCCAAACATATTTTTGATAACATATACGCTAACATAACTTTGTTTAATACGTATTTCGTTCTTACTAAACTATGCAATATTTTAAATAGTGAAAAAACATAAGACAGAATCATGACAATTTAATTTTTATGCTTGTAAAGATATTTCGTGTGAATGTGTCCGTCCCGATAAGTAGTAATGATCCTAAAAATACGTAAGTAAAAACGTAGGGGACGTGTTTACACATTATTAGAATATTGTAGAAAAAATTAACTTTATTTGTAGTTAATAATTAAATTTGACAAAGTTGTCGTGTGTTTTTTGATGCTCCAAATCGTTAGGGAAGAGGTTTGTAGGTAGTATAAATTTAGTAACCAAACACAATGTTAATGTTCGTCAAGTAAGAATTAATCCGTATTACTTACCGTGGGTTTCTGACATCAAAATCCCTTAAAACGGGTATTTTGGTCTCAAAAACCCATGGTTAGATGCCAAGAATGTGGATAGTTTAGAAAATTAAGTAAAGTAAATTGTTTAAAATGATCTCCCGCTGGGCGGTGACAATTTTTATTAGATTTGGTGTGACAATTTCTTTTTTTTAATTATAATTCTAAAGAATTACGTTATGACGAAATAATTTTCCATTCCGTGTGGCATTTTAAACGTTTACTAACCTATATACTTTATTATGTTTTAAATAGTTCTAGAGTAAGCGTCACAGATAGAAATATATTGCCTTTATTTTGTACATAAATGTATTTTGTGTATTATATACAGCTCGCAGTTTCCGCTATGAAGTATCTTTACTGATATGGAGTATACTCTAAACGTCTTTTTTTGTGTACATAAAATTTCATAACAATTTTATAGATGAGAAGGGAATGAACTGGTGAAAACATACCATGACAAATGTTCTTATGATATATTGCTCTTTCTAAATACAATAATATGTATACTTACTTTCCTGAGTGCCATTAGTCCTTTTTTGTTTCAAAAATGTATAAAAATAGTATTGATAAATCACAAAAATAGAATCCATAATAAATCAGAATGGTATATTCTAATCGATTTTTTTTTATCTAGTCATTTATCATTTGATAAAAATGAAATGCAATAATTATTGTTTACAACAAATAAATCGACTCTAAAGTTAATCGAATTTCAAGAGCAGAGTTACCTTCTTTAAATTTATTTTAAACTTAGGTAAACACGCCAACACCTTTATTTATTTTGTTAAATATTGTTTTGTTACTAAAATATATATTAAAATGAGACTGACGTCAGAATGGTATAACGTGGCTTTTTGATTGGGAATTACTTTGCCTTTTTTTTCAAAAGCTTGCATTTAAAATTGTATCCAGTTTTAATATGATATCTATAACACCTACTTGTAACAGAGATATTTATTTAATATTATATCTTTAGATTGCATTATTTAGCAAAAAAATCATGGCACCAAACAGGCGTTTTTGTCTTTTGACGCTTTTGGAATGTTGGAATAAAATAATAACAAACATTATATCTCATACTGCGAACAGTCATATAAACATTATCCATAATACAGTCGAATTTTGATAAGCTAGTGCCCATTGCGATATTTATCTCGCTTGTGGAGGTTTCTCCCTAACACGAGTATCTCGCTTGGACGTTGTCGAGACCTAACTATAACTCACTTATGAAGATTTCTAGCTTATCCATTTTTGATTGTATATTTTAGTAGTACAAAATCATAATTATAATAATCGTTCCATCCATGTCGCTTGCTTTCAGGTGCTAAGCTCACTACAAATTGTATGTTAAATAAAACTAAAGAATAAGTAGAGTTAATATTCGCCAGATGTATAAGTTAATAATAATATCTTCCGTGAATTGAGTTAATATAATGAATTTGTCAAATTATGTGATGTGTAAAGAATGTAAATAAAAACATATACCTACATATAAACATCTGGTTTTATTTGCAATTTATGTAACAAGACCTGGAGCCTGGATTTAGTATTTCCAATGAGTCTCCCTCTCAGTCTCTGAAAAACAAAGATAATCTTAATAGAAATGTTATACCCGGTTTATACCATTCCAGTCCAACAAAAGAAATCAACACTGGACTACAACTGGAGAATGTTAAAACACATGAATTTACAGTGCATTCCAGTACGGCTTTTCGTACTTGTAAACCGGCCGAGATTTTGATCGCTGTACTGGAATAATACAAACCGGTTATAACAGCAGTGATATTGCACCGGCTAGGGTTAATTAAAAGAAGTTATTTCTTTGAGACGTTTATTTCACATGAATTAATCATAAACTTTAGATCCAGTTTATAGATTGGATGTATCAAAATTGAATGCATTTATAAATTTTCTACAAGTTTTTCTATTAGTTTATGAGAATATATTTCAGACCAAATGTTTGATGAATAAGTGTTTGATTACAAAAGGTTTTATTTCGTTAAAAACTTGTCGCTCTCAGGCGACGTCCGTAAGAAAGCTTAAATACTCTTATCGTACGAATACCAATGGTCAAGCTTAACAATACAGTCCAACCTGGATAAGCGAGAATCCAATGGACTGCGATATTTTTCTCACTTACAGAGGTTTCTCTCAGTTTCTCGCTTTATCCAGGTTAGACTATAATTACAAAATAACTACAAAGTTAAATTCGAACTAAAACTTCCACTTTACATTAACCTACTAAATTGATTATTTCATAAATATAAAGTTAAACCGAAAATTCACATATTAAAGATTGAGATATTGAATTTGCAGTTAGAAGTAAAAAAAAACCGCCCGCCTTTCCAACTTTTTACAGTTTAAAGTATAACGAGGTCAGACAAAAAAAAAGTAATAGAAACTTGGGGCACGCCGTTTTACATATAAGTTGCCGTCCGGACAAATTTTGAAGCGTAGAAAAATAAAAAAGTCTTAGTAAATACAAAGATCTACATTAACGTTTTTAAATACGGTTCCTCGTGAAATTGTAACAAAATTAACGAAGAAATGTGCTTAAACTAAATCAATATAAGTATATCAGTCAATTATACAGTTGTGATTTAATTTATTTAGCTATCTACTAGATTGTTACTAACACTGACTTAGTGTTGCGCATCTTGTCACACTCTACAACATAACCGTGCGATTACAATGAAGAAAAACATGTATAAAAATATTGTAACGTTTTTTACCAACAAAAGTAACAATACGTTTTAATACATGTGTTTAAGCAATGCAAACTCGCAATAACACCAACACCAAACATCGAAGATACTACAGCAACTTCCTATAGAATTTATAAATTATTTTACACCAAAAACACGTTCACTTAAACAAGAAATGGCTTCTTACATTTCATGATAACAAAATACAAATCATAATATACAAGTTTCACAAGCCACATGCAAAATGCATTTAAATATTCTTACAATGATTGTATTATTGTTTAATTCATAATTAAATACATGGAAAGCTTTACAAAGTAAGGAATGAATTATCAACCGTCCTACGGAAGTATACTGATATCTATAAAAAACACCTTACAATCATTACATACAATGACGCTTCGGATACCGAAAAATCCTAATAAATTAACTTGAAATTATCGCAAGTAAAATGATGTGAGAGAAAGTCATAACCAAATTGCCTCGAGATGTATTTTCCTATGCATACTATTGACCTCTATAGATTGGACAGGTTGGACAGATCGCTTGGAAATGACAATTTTTGTTTTGTTCCGACTTAAATGTACACTTTGTATTTTATTACTATTTCGAGTTTCCAAAATCGACACCGCTACAATCAGTTCAAAATCAAATAATCACAAAATAGCACGACTTAAAACCTGTCCAACTTAATATAAATGATGATGGACTCAGGCTCTTCATACACCAGGCAATGCAAATATTCGATACCCGGCGATTTGTCTCTAAACGACTTTATGTCATAGAGATTTGTAAAGAGGCACGCGTAGCCGTTATTTTGTTCTTAGTCTACAAAACCAGTCTCTCGCTACTTGTCAAGATTGTTGTGAGAAAAGTCGCTGCGATTTTCAAGATGGCGGAGTAAATCGGAATTGTCCACTCAGAATAAACGAACACGCAATGCCATACTCGCGACGCAACCATACAATATTTACATTGCCTTGTATATGGAGGGTCTCACACATTCCTTATAATTAGTACGCATAATTGTTCCACAGTTAGCGTCAGAGGCTAACATCCATTGTCCATACAAAACAATTATTATGTATAGATTTTATACAAGATACGTGTTTTTTTCTTTCATTAATCGTCCCATACTTATTTTAAAAAGTATAAAAACTGAATGAGACGCTTTTTAAGTCTCGATTTCTTTTAGAAGGTTGAAAAACAAAACCACTTTTCCATTATAAGCGGTGGTTATTTAAAAAAAATGATTTTTGTTCAATACTGCTTTTTAAATACACTAACTCGCTCAGGTATTAAATAAAAAGTAGCTTATGCTGTGAGATCATAGCAAATATTCGCCCTTGTTAATTATCTCGCAAATCAAATATATACAACAATGATGTATAAACGAGACGGGGTTCTATGTACATAGCCTATTTAAACAATAAGACATATTTTCTACACTTATATCTGGTACTATTTGTGTAAAAGGCGCGGTTATAATCTGTAGGCTGACAGCAAACTATTTAATTAATATCTCCATACATTTGGCTCACATCTTTGAAGGCACAGCAGAGAGACGATATCATCCTACATACAAGTTACTCCAGATTCTCTTCATAGGAGAGCTAACTCGTACCTTGATTTAGGTTGTAATAAATATAAAATTCATTAAATGATGTCCGCCGCCGCTGGGGGCGTGTGGTGGGGGTGTGCCGCTGGGGGCGTGTGTCGGGCGTGTGCCGGTGGGGGTATGGTGGTGGGGTCTAGGTGGAGAGGTAGAGGCGGTGGTAGTCGTTGGCGCCGAATGCGGCGTTGCACTTGGGGCACTTCCTCTGGCGCGTCTCGTAGCGCGTGCGCAGGCAGTCCCAGCAGAACACGTGGAAACATTTCGTCAACACCGCGTCCTTGCGTTTCACCTGGAAATTTTAACATTTAAATTGCAGTTCCGATGGAAAATATATTTAAAGCATAAAACGGTGTTACTATATCGCATTTCTAACTATTTTCGTCAGTGTTTAAATATTTTTACTATGCATTAAACAGGACGGATCAGGATTTTGATAATTCACCATCATTATTATCAAAAATAAAATTTTATTAAAGTGATTTAATATTACCACAGCACCAACTTTCTAACAAATGAAGAATCTATAGTAACAGCGTACCTTGCAGGAGGGGCATGTGAGAGTTTCTTTGTAATCGCGAATTTCCTCGAGCAGCACCTCGTCCATGCTGCTACCCGCCTGCTCCATCTTCTTCATGCGCTCCGCCTTGCGTCGCAGGATCGCCAGCTCCTCCTGGTAACACGTGACACATCAATTATATGCAGACAATTGTCACTTCACAGACGAAGGCACCCATCTTCATTGTATAATAATAAAAAACATTAAAAAAATTCTGATAGCATACTTAATAGTAAACCACAATCAACTAATCAACTTATGGAAAAGTATAAGAGAAAGTAAAGAACAGAGTGACATTTACATGTAATCTTTTTGTTTTGTAAGCTTCCGCCTCCAGCGCACTCGTCTTCTCCGCGACCACCTGCTGCGCCTCCTTCATCTGTGCGTGGTACTTCTCTGTAACATAATCATCAAAATTATATGTTACTATTTTGTTTTTTTTTTCAATAAAAAATCCAAACGACAGCACTGACAGCTAGGGGCGAGTAAAATCATAGCGTTGACTAGTATTGTCTTAGTGATGCAGAGCATAGTAACCTAGATGCAACTTGAGATCAGCGGCGGACTGCGCGGACTCGATGGCCTTGCGCTTGTGCATCTCCATAGCCTGCTGGCGCAGCAGCAGCTCCTTCTCCACCGCAGACAGCGTCGCCTGCAGCAGCCGCTCCTTCTCCTCCAGCCGCCGCGCCACCGCCCCCATCGACTCGATCTGCTGGTCCCGCGTCACCACCTACACACAACAAATATTTCGCTCTTACAAATAAACGTCAAAAATTTATCAATAAAATCAACGACTCACGTTTAGAAATTTCTAATACAAAGATTAGAAACTGAACCAAACAAACGGCTATACTGGTCTTATTATTATAGTTAGTTATTGATATTTTATAAATTTATCTAATTCATAATATTTCTTAACCAAGAAACTTCTTTTAAACAGATCTTAGTTGTGATGTAAATATTATAACATAAATTAACCTTTTCGTGCAGCAACTGCTTCTCCTCGCGCAGCAGCTTATGCAGTGAGTTGGCCTTGATGCGCTCCGACATCAGCTTGAAGTTGGCGTCGTCCTTTTCTCGCAGCTGCTGGATGAGGCGCGAGTTCTGCTCCTGCATGTCCTCGAACGCCTGCCCCGTTACCTCCATCTCGTTCAGCAACGCCTCCTCCTCCTGCAACAATCACACAACAGTCATTCCAGACCAACCGACAAAGAAACGACGCTATCTTCTAGAAACTTCAGAAGACTGGTGAACTAAATAAAATACTGTTATTATAAATTACATCAGCCTTTTTTAATAGTAAAGCAATAAATACATACAGTATTCGAGTTCTATACCAATTCAAGATTCTTGGACAGTTTAAGCATTTTATGTTAGCAAGTCAACCTTTTAAGTGCCATATGGTCCTATACAAAGTGACCTTCACAATATGTGACATGTTACAATATGTGACCTGTGATCCAGCGAAAGGTCTGGAGAAGGCGTGCAGCGGGTCCGCGTTGGGACGAGCGCAGGACAGCTGCTTCTGCAGCTCGTACTTCTGTTCCTCCAGCTGCTTGATCTTACGCAGCGCGTCCTCATCCGCCATGCGACGCTCGCGTTTGCTCTCCTAAACAATGTCACCATTCAAAAATAACTATTAAAATTATATTGAAATGCACTTCACGGTTACAAAATATAGACGACGAAAGAAGTGTTAAAAGTACTACTCCCACTTATAAAGGATAAAATTTATATGTAGTATCAATATAAATAATATTTAACGACAGAATAATTTTACAATATATTTCGCTAACCTGTGCCATCTTTGCCTTCTGTCGGTGGTCCTCGAGTTCTTGGCGGGCTTTGCGCTCCGCGGCCATTAGCTGGACCTTGTCGCGCTGCTCTTTGCTCACACCTTTGTACATGTCCAATAACAGCTTCAGCTCTTTCTGCTCGTTTACAGCCTTTCTGCAATGTTACAAATAACAAAATCAACTTGTTGAATAACCTAACACTATCGTAGTAAAAGCACACAAGGTGAGACATCCCGTATGGTCGCCCCGTCTCGCCAGGCGAATTCAATTTCATATATTCAAATGATAATTTCATGTGAAAACGGACTGTATTTAATGGCATAGCTAAGACGATGTAAACAGTCTTAATAATCAAAGGGACAAACAAGCAAGTAGCTCACCTGATGTTAACTGATCCCATGAATATCCGCAAACATCAGACGTATTGCAGAACATTGCCGGCCTTTAAGAAAGGAAAGAGCGATTTTGCCTACTTTTATCGGGCTCACATAAATCTCTTGAGCTGAACAATATGGGATTATCAATGTTCTACAAAACTTAAACAAGCCTTTAAGAGATAATACGCTGATCGTAATTTTATATTCACTTAGTTAGGAAGAACAGCCAAAACGGCAACACCTTATCCAGTGAAGTACAAAAGCAAAGAAAATTATGAATAACTTTTATTTTATAACAATTCACTTTATTATGCACTTTGGGGTTTAAATTTCAACATTACAACTACACATACAAATATTAATAAAATGACCAGTCGCATCGTTCAACAGTAGTGAACAAACAAGCAACCTATACCAGCAGTTCTTACTTAATACTGACTTGAGCTGTTGCTTGAGCTCCTTGATGATCAGCTCCTGCTCGTGCAGCTTGCCGCGCGCCTGCTCCTTGCTGGCCGGCTTCTCCGCCCCCACGCCCCCCACGCACCCTACTCCGCCCACACCACCCCCCTGGTCCTCGCCCTGACAACACAACCTGTTTCAATCACTCAACATATGTTGTTACATTTCGCATCAAACCTTAATAAGCCGCCTAGGACTTTCAAAGGGTTAACATGCTTTTGGTAAGATTATTCGAAATAATTATATGGTGCTTGTTGTCTTTAGAAAATAACATAAAGCTTAGGAATATAATTATAATACATTAAAATGATTGTATTTGTCACAAACATTTATATTTTTATAATAGTCACAAAGCTTGATATAGTTTTCATCTTATAACTAAGAAATTATGTAATAAAGATTTTAAAAACTGCTAGAACATTACTTTGTACTAGACTGTTAAGGATTTAAAATACTGATGAAGGAGGAGGGAGAGGAGATAGACAATATTAGAGAGCTTACGTCAGGGTCGGGCTCCTCCTTTTTAACAGGCGGCGGCTTCTCGTCAGGCTGTTCCCCGCTGGTGGAGGCGCCGCCCCGCGCCGCCGCCTCTTCAGTTTCTTTACGAAGCTGAAACATAACAAATACATAAACTACAAGAAAACAAAAATAAAACAAACAAGAAAGACAAATCAAATTATTTTAAACTCAATAAAATCGATCAAGCGACTGAATGTCACATGAAATATACATACATACTTGCAATAAACATTACACAAATAAATATTAAATCGAAAAATATTAACTTAAACTAAAATTATATTAAACTAAAATCCAACATACTTTATTCAATTCTTGACTGGTATCCTTGTATTTTCTCTTGTACCTGGAGACTTCGCCCTTGAGCTGCTGATTGTGGTTCTGCAGAGAGGTGATGAGATGCCTCATCTCCCTGTTGATGGGTCCAGTTTGCTCGTTGGCAGCCAAGTTCTGCTCAAACTCTATCCTTAACATCTCGTACTCCTTCCTCAGCTGACCGAGCACGTCTTCCAACTGTATCATCTCAGCACGGAGTGCTTTCTGCCTTGCTAACTCCTCACTCTACAAAATTTACACATTGTAAGTAAAATAAATGTAATACTATAAGACTTAAGACAAACAGAAATATGCACAATTTTGTTTGCAAAACCTCATATGAACATTTGAAAGGGGGTAAATATTTGTGGTATAAAATAAAAAGAAAATGCTCACCTCCATCATTTCAATCTGTCTCATATGTAGATTCTTAGCATTCTGTAACTGCATGCGAGTCTCGTCCAGCGCAGTCTTCATCTGCATGGACTCATTGTACAGCACCGAGAACTGACTCTGCAGGCACTTGTACTCTGTCGTCTCTACAATCACTGATTCAGGTAACTGACGTATCTGTCATGGGAAATTTACTCAAACGTTTATGTCAAGGTCATTATAGTAGTTTCATAAATTTAATATTAATAACGTGACAATATGTCGGTACATAAAGAAGTGAGAGATAAATGATTAAGCTTAGAAATAAATAAAAACAAAAATAAACTTCAGCTTATTTTTTGTCATCAATTGCTAGAATTCATTTGTTTTTTGTGCATCAAATATAATTAAATAAAATTCATATGTCTAGTAATCTATAGACTTACATCCATCTTAAGTTTTTCTACTTCCTTGAGCATGTCCCTGTGCTGCCTGTGCAAGCGATCAAGTTCCGCAAGTCGGTTGTTGGCCAGTTCTCTCTGCTCCTCCAGTTCTGCGGCCACATCTTCCAGCTTAGCCGCAGCGGCCGCTGTGAGGGGCGTTCCCCCAGTTGATGCTGAGTTGCTGCTACTGGCACTCGCGCCCGACTGATGGTAACTTTTCAGCTTCTCAATTGCCTCTGCTAGATGGTTTTCTAATTTATCATTTCTCGATCTCACCTAGAAATACATAATATATAATATTTCCAAAGTTAATGATTGTATCTCCTTAGTAGTAGCTGTAAACTTATATTGTAGGTTTGCTTTTTAAGTTTTCCTACAGTAAATAATCTTAAATATCACAGACTTAATGATAGTAAACAGAATGTTTGTGATGTCTAGTACATACCTTCATAAGTTCATATTGCAAATCATCAATCTGATTCTTTAGTTCTGCATTCTCTGTATCCCGACTGTTCACTGCATCCTGCAGCTGAGCCACACGTAGGGTCATGGCATGGTGGTTTTCTTGTAATGTGGTACATATTGCTTGAAGGCGACGATTTTCTGCTGTCACTTCCTCGTTCGTAGCACGCACCACTTCATCTAGAGATGGTGCTGGTGCACCTTCTGTAAATTAATTTTTTTACTATTGTTAGAGTAGTTTTGTACCGTAAAGTACAAAACAAGGTTAGTGAATCTATTTAGGTCAGTTTAAGTCCAAAGCATCATCAAAAACATTAGGCTACTTCCAAAATATTTGTATTAAGGTATATGGTTATGCTATGTTTATTCAAAACATATAAAAAAATATATATTTTTACTAATGTTATGTCAGTGGAAACTCGAAACACTACCAAAATTACCTTCTCCCTCTCCCTTAATTGCTCTCCAAATCTTATCATTCCTCTGCTGCAATCTATCAAATGCCTGTAAGACTTTAGCCACCGCTCTCTTGCTGACTTGGACTCTGTTAGCTAATTGTGCATCCAACTCCTCTTTGTCCCATGTTGACAACTGCATTAAGAACGAAGTCGTTGCTTCATTCTCATCTATAACATACAAACATGCTGTACATTATTAAATTCAAAACATCCTTTATATTCCTTTTTTTCTAACACATTGGCTATCTTTGTAATACATCTTCCTAATACATCATAATTATTGATTGGAAAGTATATAATTTGTACATTGTTTTTATCTGTATTACAAGATGTAGTCACAGTAATAATCCATACATGTTTGTTAGAACATTTTAATTTAGTATTGCACATAATTGTTAAATTGATTAAAAATTATAAATTACTCTTGTTCTCTGATTCATCAGCTGTTTCTGCATCAAAACGCTGCAACAGAACTCGTATGTCTTCATTCAGTAAGTTCCAGTATCGGTTTACAACACACAGGACAGCATCATCTTGTGTTTGACGCTTCTCCAGTTGTTCAATCCTTGCTCGAAGTTCTGCTTCACAACGATGCCTTTGCTCTATTCTCTAAAAATATACAATACAAAACAATGGTACACTTCATTCACTTTATATAAGTGTTACTCTAGTTTGTTTACAAATACCATTTTATATATAAAGGGATTTTAAATTACATTTTTGATAATGCAAAGTGTGTAACATCTTTATATTACACTTAAACAAATACAAAATTAGGGTAATTCATAAAAAACTATATTGACATAAGAGTGTTTGGAGGTTATAAATAAAAACAAAGTTAATTACACATCATATTAGAAAAATAAATAATGTTATGAAGGAAAAAAGAAATGGAATATTCATAAAATGAAGTAAGTGAAATAAATTGAATGATTCAAAAAGATTTCATAAAAACGTCAACCAGCTGATGATGTCCATTTCACTGAGTAGTATGATTATTACAAAATAATGACAAAATTGATGTTAGGGAGTGGTTACCTGGGCTAATTTTTTGTTTTGAAATTGAAGGACTTTGATGTCCATTTCTTCAAGAGTGGATACTGGCCCGATGAGATGAGGTTCAAAGTGAACCTTCTTGATCGGTGGCTGACTGGTGCCATTGCCACCATCTTCTGCTGACCGCTTCGACATCCTGAACTAAGCTAATTTTGTAAATTACAGGTTTAAAACGATCACTTCCAAGTTATTGATTTATATAATCCAACTAATTAATAAGGATTATTAAGAAAGTGAGTATACAGAAAAGTATTATACATTTTTATTTAGTAGGATAATATATGTACCTGTTTGTCAATATTGACAATTCATTAATAATTTAATTAAAAAATGAGGATAAAGATATATTGTATGTATTGTATATGAATACTTCTAACATTTTCTTAGAATTTATGTTATAAAACTACAACTGTATGTGATTATGCTATAAACTCCACCCGTTTCACGTTTCACCTCAGCCAACAAACCATCTTTCCATAGAGCCGAGGTATGGAGGGAGGAGCGGAGATTTTACCATAGATTAGACACGGAAAAAAAATGGTAACATTTTCGGTGTTTCCATAATTTTTACGTCAATTTAAGAATCCTGTTTCATTGAGTTGAGATATTGGTGTGTAGTAATGTTAAAATGATGTAATAGCTATGTTATAGGTTTTTATCTTATGAAAACAACATTCGCTATTAAGTAAAAATATGAAATAATTTTGAAAGCATTATTAAAATTAACATAAGAAGACAATGCAATCTCAGCCAAATCACAAATTGTGGACAGGAATCATGTTAGTTTTTGAAACATTATCCCCGTAATAGTGATTTTGTTGTATTATAAAAATAATAACTTAACAAACGTAGCTGAAACCAAACTTTTTTTATGTATTTTGATGGTAATTAGTGCACTGAATAAAATTTAATATTATAAAATAAGGAATCAGGTCAAAATTTGTGTTTTTTTAAATACATCTTGTAAAAATCCTTAATTAAATATCAAAATCATATCAGAATGCATATTTTCAACAATTGGTGTTTATACATACTCTTTGGTTGTTTCAACAGTTCAATTTCAATTCATAAAAAAGTAAAACGTCACTTTGAAAGTAACGTAAAAACTGTGACCGTTTATTTAATTTTTATGGTAAGGTTTAATTCAAACCGTCGTCGTATACAATTTTGTTTCAGTTTACTTGTATTTCAATATTAAAAGAAGCATAATGAGGTCGGCTAAATCTAAACAGAGGTTAAATGAATTACGAACGCCGGCTAGAAGCAAACAGAATTTGGCTCCCAATGAGCGAGATCCGGTACAAGTTTACTGCCGCCTTCGACCCATGTCAAGAGAAAATGATCATTCGTGCATCAAGATTGTTTCTTCAAATACTGTTTTTTTAACACCACCAGCGACTGCTATCAGCTATAGAAATGAAAACAACAAAATTATGAAATACACTTTCAAGGAAGTATTCCCGCCAGAAACCTCACAAGCAGAAGTGTTCGATAAAGTTGCTCTACCACTGGTCGAAGGACTAATTAGAGGAAAAAGTGGCTTACTTTTTACATACGGTGTGACTGGTAGTGGTAAGACATTTACTATGACTGGAGAACCTCAAAATTGTGGCTTACTACCTCGCTGTTTAAATATTATTTTCAAAACTATCAATGACTACCAAGCGCACAAATACGTTTTTAAGCCGGACAAAATGAACTTATTCGATATTCAGAGCGAGGCTGAGGCAATGTTGGAGAGACAGCAGGAACTGCATAAATTTAAATCAGGTAAAAAAAACAATTCTAATCCTGACCTAGCAATGTCTTCAACCGACATAACAAAAGTGGAGGGTGTAAACGAAGATAATCAGTATGCTGTATTTGTCTCCTATGTTGAAATTTATAATAACAGTGTGTTTGATTTATTAGAGGAAGGTCCACCCTTAACCAAAAATTTGCCTGCTAAAATTATCCGTGAAGATGCAGCTCACAATATGTATGTGAATGGTGTAACTGAAATAGAAATTAAATCTGCAGAGGAAGCATTTGAGGCATTTTATTTAGGTTTGAAAAGAAAGCGAATGGCTCATACCAATTTGAATGCAGAATCTAGTAGAAGTCACTCTGTATTCACAATCCGATTAGTGCAGGCACCTGTTGATGAAATGGGTGAGGCAGTGATACAAAACAAGGATGTGCTCAAAGTCAGTCAACTCAGTCTAGTAGACTTAGCCGGCAGTGAAAGAACTAATAGAACAAAAAATACAGGTCAGAGACTCAAAGAAGCAGGTAATATTAATAAATCATTGATGACTCTTCGATCATGCCTAGAGTTATTAAGAGAAAATCAGTTGTTTGGTGCTAAAAATAAAGTGCCATACCGTGAATCTAAAATAACCCATTTGTTTAAAAACTTCTTTGAGGGAGAAGGTCAAGTACGTATGATTGTCTGTGCCAACCCCAGAGCAGAAGACTATGATGAGACTCTTCAAGTTATGAGATTTGCAGAAATGGCAGCAGAGGTTGAAGTAGCAAAACCACAGATTACAGATATTGCTGCAGAGATAGGCTTGAAATCAGGCAGGCGTAAAGCCAATCGTTTATTTAACACTGCACGAGAATATATAATGAGACCAGATGCTAAAGAGCTAGAACTTGATTTAGGATTAGTTTACAGCCTTGGACCTGATTTCCCGAGTCTGAAAATAAGCAGTTCTCAAGAAGATCATATCATCAAAGAACTCAAAGCCCATTTGGAGATGCGGCTAAATCGCAGGGAAATTTTAAAACGCAGTAAAGCTGTTAAAGATGAAAGACTTCGATCAGCATTATTAGACTTAGAGAAAGACTCTTTAGAGGTACGAAGTGAAAATGTTTCCTTAAAAGGTCAGTTGGCAGCAGCAGAACGTAGAGTTAGAGCTTTAGAAGAAAGACTTACAGCAACTGAAAGTGCTTCCCTATCTCATCAACGAAAATTGAATGAAATGACTGAATACACATCATCTTTAAAAAGAGAGTTACAAGAGAAGGAATTGCTACTTAGTCAAAATAAACTTGATAAGGAGAAACAAAAGAAACATTTGGAAAAGAAATATAATCACAAAATAGCTGCTGAACATGAAAAAGCAAAGGAAATATGCTCCGAAAGTGAAAGACTACGTAATGTGATTGAAGATAAAGAAAATCGCTTACGGATTATAGCAGAGGCATTGAAAATCGAAAGAGGTGACCATATAGAACAAGTACCTAAAATGATGGGAGATGTTGGTGCACAAACAAGTGCCCGGGACTTTACCCCAGGGTCAACACCTAGAGCTCTACCTGCACATATGCTAACTCCATTTAGTTCAGCTCAACAGACAAAAGAGAGCCAATCTTCTCGTCGTGGCGTGGCCGTCGCTAACCCCCGACACAAACGATCTTTATCAGCCGATGGTCGCGGATGGATAGAACATGCGCCCAAGAACATTGTACCAATGGGAACTGTTTTGAAACCAAGCATTGGCCACAGCAAACATGTTAATAAGTTGACTAATGTTAAGGATATAGCAAATTCGAAAGTATCAAAGTACTGTCTTGTCACTCAAGCCCAGGATACAGATGGCGAGTTTGAAATGACAATGTACAAGGGAGATGTTGTCCCTACATGTGGTGGAGGTGCTCAAGTAATATTTAATGATGTTGAAATGCTCAAACAGTTTTCACCAACGCGACAGTCAAACTCCGCGCGTTTGTCAGGGAACACTTGCGCTCGCCATTCGGGCAAACGTCGTGATACCGGAGGCTGCTCCCCACCACAAACACCATCAAATACCAGCAAAAAACAAAGGGTGGACGATGATGAAATAATCCATATGAACTAATGAAAATTATTTGTGTCCAAATTGTGTTATTGAAATGTTTCGCATTGTCCCTAAAATAAGTACAACTATAGGATATTTTTTGTAATACTATTCTTATTATCATAGTAATCTCATTTTACATGATTGGACTTAGTTTGTCATGTAAATGTTATTTTCAATAAGGTAAAGTTATATATTGGTTAGAAGTTTTGTTTACATCTATAACAATTGGTCACAATTCTGCTTCTAAACAGGAAATGCTCAATTTCTATAAATTAATAGTTCCTTTGCATTGTGAGAAAGTATTCAAGATGTCAAGCTACCATTGTTACTTAACTATGTTTAATTTACTGTCACTAATACATATTATTTTTATATTATTTCTGATAAAGAAAAAAAAAACATTTTGATTTAAACTTTAAAATATAAAAATCCATTATGGATGAAAATATACCATTATAGTTTTAATGTTACAGTTCTGTAAAAAATATGGTTTAACATGATTATAGCTTACAACTTTGTTAAACTACCTAATTGCGTCTTTTTCAGTACTTAAAAACGAATTTCTATGTTTTTTCAGCCATCATTAGCACTTGTACAAATAATTGTGATAATATTAGTACATACATGCTACTACATGATGTTGATCGAGTTTTGGGAGAGTAATTTTTAGGACATACCTTTTTTACATTGAGTACTTAATTACTTGGTATAATGATTATGAAAAATTTATTTTTAATGTTTATTAATTGTATTGTAAGCTCCAAATTTTATTTAAGTGTTCTGTATTGTACGTTTGTCTGACATTAAGTTGTCTTTATTTTTTGGAAATCTATTGAATAACTTTCTTGTGTGTTATCCAATTTATTTGATTATTTATTTGTAATAATTATGTTACAATAGTAAAATTTTGTTTCTTTTATAAAATCCTGGTAGATAAAATATTGTTACTTAAAGTAACTAACTTACTTTGTTTCTTCATACAGCCTATTTTCAGCAAACATAAATTTTCCCTCTTTTTTTTATAATTCATGTTATTTAATACTTTCATAGAAGCAAAGGAGCAAAAATACTGAAATAAAGTCAAGGTAAGTTTATCATTTAAAACAGTACATTTTTATTTAAAAAAAACCTTTCTGATAATAGGCAATATTTGCACTAAAATATAAAATAATGATTATCTACTAATCCCTGTATAAAAATCCCAAGTTAAACTTAACATGTGTATGAAACAGTTTAAGTAATAATATTTATTCTATTTACATTCTGATATAAATTTGCTAATTCATAATGGCTCTATACTTCAACTGATCTTCATACATTTTAAGAAACACTTTATACTTTTTGTCATGGAATGATTTGGTATTAAGATTTGGAGGGACGACATCGGCTTTGCCTCCCATGGTCTCTATGGCCACTTGAACATTGTTAAAGTATTGTGACGCGCACGCACCAAGGATAGCAGAGCCTAACAAAACTGACTCCGATTCATATGGTTTAAGCACCGGCAAAGCTACAACATCTGCTTGTATTTGCACAAACAGGGGATCCTTTGATAGTCCACCACAGATTAGCAAGGATTTGAATGGTTCATAACCGGCTTCCACCAAAGCCTCAATTATATGCCGAGTTCCATACTGAAATAGAAAGAATAATAAACTTTAATCTCTCATTCATAAAATATTTAAATCTGAATTTATCACTGAGTACTATATGATAATTATGAGTGGTAGTCTCCTGTGTCTGGGGTGTATAATCTATCACTCTTATGTCTTCAATAAAATATAAAACTAAAAGGAGCTTACCGATAAAGCCTGTAATGTTGCAAGGTAGAGTAAAGCGAGATTCTCCTCACTGTTGTTTATTGTGAGCCCACAAATCATTCCTTTCATAGATGGATCAGCCAATGGTGATCGATTGCCATGATAATCGGGCCAAATATGAAAGTCTTTACTGAGTAAACTTACATCGCTTAAGCCTTTTTCTTTTGTCATTTTTGATAGCAATTGCCTTAGATGAGTTCGCACCCTGAAACAGATAACCCTTATAAACCTTTCATAAGATTAGTAGAGAATTGGAAAAGGAAAATTTAACAATTGTTTGTATGTCTGGTAAAGTTTGTTTTGATTTATTCTTGTTTAGATTCTCACACCCACACATTCAAATCAAATAAAAAAAACGAAATCTATTATCTATTACTGTTATCATAATAAGACTTACTCTCCAGTTGAATATTTATTCAACAATTGAATTCCTGCTGGATGACTTGATATGACATAGTCTAAAAGCATGCCAGAGGCACTTTGGCCAGCTTCATTCAACCACAAGTTAGGTACCATTGCACTAAAATAAGGACCCCATATACCTGGCACTAGTACAGGCTTCTTATTGACAGCCATGTGACAGGTGGAAGTACCACATATTATGCTGAGTCTACTTGACATTTCCTTTGCAATGCCTTCCCCATTTGTACCAATCATACCAAGTCCACCAGCATGAGCATCAATGATAGAAGTAGCTACTGGGGTACCGGGAATAAGGCCAAGAGATCTTGCAACATCATTCTTCAGACCACCACACTTCTCTCCAGGCATCAAAACTTTACTCCCTATCTTCTTAAAGTCAAACGCAGCTAAGTCATCCAATCCAATATTTTGAAGAAAATCTTGGTTCCATCCTTTTTTACCATCAATAGAACATTCATAGTTCCATTTGCAAACCAGGGAACATAGTGACCTGCTTTCTGATCCTGTAGCTTTCCAAGTTAGGTAGTCTGGTAAATCAAAAAAATATCCGAAATCAGACCACTTGTTCGGTAAATTTTTCTTTAACCACTTTAGCTTTGGCATCTCCATTTCCAGGCTTACCTTGCCACCAACATACTTAAGCATCTCATGACCTGTTTTGTTTATAAGCTCGGCCTCAGTTTGAGCTCTGTGGTCCATCCACATTATAACATTCTGTTCATTGTTGTGAGAGTTGCTTACTGCTAAGGGATTACCATTCCTATCCATTGCGACCAAAGAACATGTGGCATCAAAGCCAATCCCTTTGATATCTTCTGGATTCACATTTCTAATAACTTCCTGAAATACACAAGAAAAATTTGCTGAATATACTTTCAATGCAATTTAAACCTGAGAAAATTTGGGCAGTTTTTTTTAAATACATGTTTTTTTAATCTTGAAGATTTAATATTTATCATTGTATCAAAAAATAAAATAAACAATTGTTTGGGTCAAAAACATATCTTTTTACCCAGAAACACACAGACACTCTTATCTAAGTACTAAGTAATACTAACTTTTATAACAAATTCACAACAGCTCCATATGTCATTAGAGGACTGTTCATAAAAGTCAGGTTGGGGCTTCCATATTCGCAGTTCCTTAACTGATGTACGCAGTATGTGTCCGTCTTGATCGACCAGAGCTGCTCTGGCGCTACCTGACCCCACATCCACGCCAATGAAGAATGATTGAGTGTTCATGTTCTAATTTCTTACTAAAAAATTGATGATCTAAATAAACGAAAGCGTTATTTTGTTACAAAACAAAGATTACGTAGACTCGATAGAAAAGAAAATCAAAAATAATAATAAAATACGGAGTATATTAACGTATAAAAATAGTAGGATCGTCAAAGTTATCTTGCAGCAGTATGATAAACACAATAAATTATGACCTTGATACTGTGATAATAGATATCAAGTTAATGATGCTGTGCATGATTCTAATAAGTTAACCTATAACCTTGTTTTCCTTGCTGTTCCACTTAGCTTATTCGTTTTTACTAAGAGTTAAAATCTTCTATAAGACATGATAACATCCTTTGTTGAGTATTATTATATAACGCAAAATATTATTAACATTTGATAAGATCAGAATATATACTTGCAAATGTTTTGTTTTGACGTTTAAGTTAATTTAAGTTTCGCGCTTTCGTGTCAATGACAAATAGACTGATCAGAGTTGCCCGTTTTAAGTATGCGATATGTTTAAAAGCCGATGTCAATAAATAAACTTTTTTCTTATTAAAGATCAATTTTCCAGATTTTTAACTATCTATAGAACATCAGTCCATATGTGATTGCCTCTCACAATTTAAAATTGCCACGCTGGCTGGTATTACATGCATAATATTCATACAGTGTTTTGATACATACAAAAATTTGATAAGTACATAAACAACTACAGGGAAATCCCGAAAGTCTGTGAAATATTAGAATCGTTCGAAAAGCAAGTTTGACTTTTTAATGTATTTATTTCATATACACTTGGTAGTTACATTACAATTTTTTAGTATGTTTAGATTTTTTAGATAATGTTGTTAAATAATACTAATTATTTTAAGGAAAACTTACGAAATATGTTAATTCAAAATGAAATTATTTAAACCATTATAGTTTAGAAAACTTGTTGATCAATTCCGTATTAAGAACGTTGATAGCATTGACAGATCTGAAAAATGAGGAATTTGAATTGAAACTCAATGGCATAAGGTTCAAAATAGGGTTAATGAGAAAATTTTGAAAAATAATCGTAAATCATGCACTCTGACTTATCCTGCAAAATTGTAGATATAATATCATCACACAACTTATAATAGTATAGAAAACTGTGTAAAAAGTTATTTACTGTCAAAGGACACTTATAATTAAGGTACCTCATGTAAACAATTTACATTAACTTCATCAACATCAGCTTTAAGAAATAAACATGAATATGTTGCATTCAGACGCGAAGACTCATCTCCAAGATTGCTTTAGTGACAACATACGAACAATAAATCTTGAAGTGATATCAGAGATTCAAAATGATGTAGATTATTATGATACTGTTTCATTGGTTTTCCTGCTTTATGAAGTCCCTGATACAGCTCTGCAAAGACTTATTGTTTTTCAACGTGTTCATAAAGACAGTAACATGAATTTATTATATGACTGGGCCTTAAATGCTCAGGCCCGACCTACATGGAGGTATGAATTTTTAGAAGCACTTACCATTTGCCGCTTATATCATATTATTAAAAAACTAGGTTTTGATGTTGCTAGTGTCAAGGAACGATATATGCCTGACAATATAAATGTTTGTATATATATCAATCCTATGAAAAAGGCTCTATACAAATTTTGTGAAAATGTAATTGTAAATATTCTTGTAAGATTAAAAAAATCATTATTGACATATGACATTGATACATCTGAACATGAATCTTGTGAGCTGATATGTTTGGAATTAATATCCCAAAAGTTTATAACTCTGAATAAAAATAATTTTGTGGTGGAGAATAAGCAATGTCATGTTGAAAAACTTGTGAGGATTGTAGAAAATATACCTGGTTTGAAAAAAGTAGCAGAAGATCTGCAAATAATTGCAAATAAAATTAATAATGACTCAAATTTTTCATCACCACAAATAATGAGTACTCCAATTTGTTCAACTACACCAAATGATGATTCGAAAGCTAAGTTAAAAGAAGATAAATATGATGAAAGTTTCTGTGATGTATTTCAACGTTTGAATGAATTACAAAAGGAAGATATTCCCATTATGAACTTGAAATCTGACACAAAAAATCTGACTAAAGATGCTTATCCTATTATCAATACTCGTAGAATTGGTGTTTGCTGCATTATTAATCAAGAAGAATTTCACCCATCAAAAGATAGCATTGAAAACAATTTCCGAACACCTATGTTGGAAAATCGTTTAGGTTCAACAAAAGACCAACAAAGCCTGGAGCAATTAATGACATCACTCAATTTTAAAATAAAAAGCTGCCGCAATCTGAACCATAGAGAAATGTTTAAATTTATCAGGGAAGTAATAAATAATGATGTTCGTCCAGATGATAGCATTTTTATGTTATGTATTTTATCACATGGTGTTAGGGGACATGTGTATGCTGCTGATTCGGTAAAAGTGAAAGTTGAAGATATCCAGAAACTATTAGACTCCGATGATGCAAGTAATTTACATGGAAAGCCCAAAATCTTGATTTTGCAGGCTTGTCAAGTTGATGAACACAGATCTATGCCCCATTTGGTAGCTGATGGACCAAAAACAAATTATTTTCTTAGAAAATCTGATTTTCTTATATATTGGGCCACTGCACCTGAATATGAAGCATATAGAGATGAACAAAAAGGGTCTATATTTATTCAAATTTTATGTTATACGATAGGTAAAAAGGCACAACAAGAACACTTGTATGATATATTTACAAAAGTAACTAATTCCGTTTCTCATGTTTGCAGTAGATTAAAACAGGTCCAGGTGCCAATTTTTGAATCAACATTACGTAAAAAGCTTTACATACAAATGCCTCAATTATCATAATGCATTTTAACATTGGCTATTTTAATTGTTATGAATGTGATAAATATTATAAAACTGCTTTAACACTATCTTGTAAAATTAATGTCACAAATATGTTATTTAGCTTAGTTACAATGTATATAGCTTAGTTGTACAAGTATGATATCAATTACAATTAAAATTTCTGCATTTAGCAGAAAATGCACAAGTGCAATAAATGTACATACAAAGCATAGTACTCTTAATTGTGCAATATTTATATTATACATACTATATTCATTTTTATGTAAGAGAAATTGTATTGAAATAATTTATGTGTAAGAAAATTAAGTAAGGAATATTCCTTACTTAATTATTCATATCCTATTTTTTAATATGTTTATAATGTATTGGGTTTATTAAATAAAAAAAATGTAATTAAGCAATATTATCTATGTTTATTGTGACATCTGTCTTCGTAAAATCCATTACAGCTGCTTCAAGATTCTTTCGTTCTTCATCTGTTTTTAATTTTGACCACATTGAATCCAAATATGCCCTTTGGTGCTTAAGGATAAATTTAAAGCTGTGTTTTAAAGTTGCTCCAACATGAAGAGTTCGTAGACTAACATCCAGTTTACCTATTTTTGTAATGAATGGTAAACTGCTTGAAACAAACTTGTGAGGCCCATGTCTAGCTCTTAGGATTGCTATTCGAGTGTTCTCGTTGCAATATTTCGTTAGAAATCCAGATCTAACAGCTCCTACTCCAAAGTCACCATGTAATTGCTGTATCTTCTCAAGTACAGTTTCATGAAATATTTTAGATTTCAAAGAAAGAGGTTTGTTCTCAGGAATTAAAGGCGATGAAATTTCGACAGTTATGTATCTAAAATAGAATTACATTATTAGATAATGTTCATAAGAAATATAATTAAAAGGTGTTAAAAATGAGCAATTTTATTGAGTCAGAAACTACGCCTTGTGAAATTACGCATCATCAGTTGGATGTGAAAATAGTTAAACATTAAAAAAAAAACAAGCTGCGTCTTTGTTTAGTTGCTGGATAACAGAACTTTGGTTTTAAACATTTCTCTACTTCGTATTTTAGCATGCGCTTCTAAATTTTATTACAAAGGGAAAATCAAAACAAACCTGTTCTTAAAACGGACCATTGTAATTTAGATGTTTTGATACTTTAAATTATTTAGAAAATGGTACGATTACCAGCACAACTTTTCGTTAAAATTTAAGGGAAATTTAATTAATTTCGTGAATTGTATCTATTCGAAAATTTGCTTTGACATGGATATTTTGTCCAAACGTAATGTTTTATCCCATGAAATTGCTTATCAAATAATTTAAATTTTTAAATAATAGCGAAGGAAGAATATAATGACAATTGCACTTGACAGCTGTTTGACAAACTAAAACATAACAATCACTATAACGGTATCTTTGAAATTATTGTTATGTTATCGTTTAACTTTCAAAAATTAGATTAAGTAATGTGTGCAAACAAGAATATTGTTAAGTGTGAGGTAAATTTTTAAAAAACTGAAATTACTCAATATGTTAAACGGAAAAGCATTTGGCTGCGCCATTCTCTCACAAAAAAAAACAATGATACGTCAAGCACAAACTGTCAATGTCACATTTTTCTTATCAAATTTATCATACGTCAATTTGAGATTTTTTTTGTACAATTTTCTAAATTTAATATTATGTCGATTACTAGATCGGAAATACTTAATTTATATAAAAAATTAATGCAATACTCTCAGTCCCTAAATTTGACGGATAACCAGTATTTCAGGACTAGAGTTTCCAATGAATTTCGACGCAATAAAACATTAACTAAACCTGGAGATATTAGTTTTGCTTACAAGGTAAAAATACGTAATTAATTAGCAGTTTATTTGGCTTGCTGTTAATAATTGGCATGTACTTTTTCGTGAAAAATTAATATTTTTAATCTTCTTATTATTTTCAGAAAGGTGAAGCTCTACTCCGCAAGGGTTCTGTGGTATAAAATAATGCAAAATCTTAGATCTTTTAGTAACATCTTTAGAGCACAAGCTGTACCCATATTACATTGCTCAGTAGCATCAAAGCATATTGATTACTCACTTGTACCAAAAATAAATGAAGCAGAATTGACAGAGCAGTTTGTTAGAGGGGGTGGCCCTGGTGGTTCTGCTGTCAATAAAAATGCTAACTGTGTAGTTTTAACCCACAATCCTACAGGTAAACAACATATTTGTAAAACAATCTAATTTCTCTGCCTAAATCCTTTTTGATTTGTTAAAAACCCATGCTCCTGATTTTAAAACATAAATTATTGGGTACTTTGAGGAATGAAATATGTAAATTTAAAAATATATTAATATTTTTACTCAAAAAATTAATAATTCTTTGAAGTGCTAAAATGTTTGTCTTTAATCAATGGTCAATGTAATTAAAACAAATGTCATAAAGCATTATAAATGTAAAGTACTGATTATATTTTGAAATTATTGTACAATTTAATTAATTCATAATTTTTTTATAGGAACAGTAATTAAATGTCATATTAGTAGATGCCAGGATGATAATAGAAAACTAGCTAGAGAAATGTTAATTGCCAAGTTAGATGAAGTTTTAAATGGAGACAACAGTGTTGCCGCCCAAAAAAAAAGACTGCAAGGAGAAAAACTTAAGAAAAATGAATATAAAAGAAAGAAAATGGCCAAACTCAAAGAGGAATGGAAGAAACGAGAAGGCTTAGTTTAGTTGTTGTTCATTTTAAGTGATTTATGTGAGCTAAATAAATTCTGAGTCATAAATATTTCTTTCACTGTAATAACATTAATTAAGAGAGTGTAAGCTGTAAGCATTTTGGATTAGGTTCCCTCTTCCCGTTGAAGGTGTAGAAATCTTAGTAGTAGGCCAGTAAATTGGAAACCACGCCATCTACCAACACACTTTATAAATAGTGAATTCTGAAATTCTGCACGAACTTAGGGTTCGGATAATATTGGAAAAAAGAATTTGAGGGATTATTATTTTATTTCAACAACGAACAATTCTAATGCAAATTTTGAAACCCATACTACCATATTAGACAATGGATGTTGCTACAATTGCACAGATCTCTTAGCCTTTATCCCTGACCTAATTATCGGTTGTGTTACCCCTATCAGTGTTATTTAAATAAATCGACACATTTTCGACTTTACCTATCATGATTCCGATGAATCCCGATTTTTGTAAATAAAAATTTTCACTTTTTAAGTCCTTTTGTCTACGTCCAACCTAAGTTGTATATAAAATTGCGACTTTCGAAAATTATAAATATAATTTTAGTAATAGATGTAATTTTAGAAGTTATTCACAAAATTTATAAATTCAACATTTTCAACAGCTTCATCAAAAATTATTACTGAAAAATGTTAGTAGGGGAAATCATTGATTTAAGTAAGTCAAGGTTGGCTGCTACGTGGTGAGTTTCTAATAAGCTCTCGTGTAGTTTGAAACCAATAGTGGTAGATACAGAGATTTTTATAGTCATTGTTTGTATTTTTGGTCAATGAAAATAAAAATCTCTGTTACGTACTTACTCGACTAGCAATATAATTTTAGCTAGTGAAATTAATACCTTGCAAATATAATTTTTATTAGCCGACTTCAAAAAGGAGGTTCTGAATTCGTGTATATTTTTTTTATCTGCCACGGTATTGTTTAAGTTACTTTTACCAGTTACAATTATACCAAAGTCAAGTGGAAGCAATTCCGCGTTTCGTCTGATGAGTGTGCGTCCCGGAGGCCTAATTTAGTCCTCTTTCCTAGAAGCGGAAGTGGACTTTCCGGATGAGAGGATGCATGGAAAGGGAAAATATTTTCTTTCTGTGCATCCTTTCCTCCGTCGATTAAAGGTAGGCAACGCATATGCAATTGTGTATGTCTATGGGCAGCAGTCTCTTCGCTTTTTCAGCGATTCCTGGTGGCTGCTCGCTCGTTTGCCACCTTTTGATAATAAAAAAAGTCTTAGCTTGAATTTGAATAATTTCATATCAATTCATACCATTCATATAAGATTTTTCATGTTCCGTATGTATACATATCTGCATATATCTTCCAACAATGGAAAAGCAATTTATTTGGATGGTTCATGTTTAGAATGTGCCGGTTCTGTCGGTTGGGAGACAATGAATGAACCATATTTATTGATAGCTTGGCTTTGTATTTGAAGTGGCCTGAAATTGATTTTCATTTTTCATTCCCTTTCATTATAACTTTAAAAGAAGAATTCATCATCATACTACCATAGGTATTCAGATTTTTTTGTAAAACTGCTGCTATATGAAATACTAACTGTTCTGGCGGAATAAAAATATTAGTAGCCTATGTGTTCTTCCAGTCTATTTTTAAATCTATGTCTTTTAGCGAGATCCATGCAGTTCTGGTGATACCATCTAAATAACATCTATCTATACATACAAAAATTCTCATTCATAATATTAGTAAGATAACGGTGTGCAAAAATAATTCTAAATGAAAATCTGTTTGTGATTTTTGTCTGTTAACTTGTCTACTTAACAATATCCCAAACATTTTTATTTATTTTAGCCAGCCCTGGTGTACATTAATCATGAGGCGATGGCTATTTTATTCTCATTGCGAATAGGTTTTCACGGTATTTCGTAACGTATGGCTACGCGCTACGGGTGTAGCGGGTCTACAGGGAAATCTAATTAAGGGTAATGGACACGGGCTTTGACCTTGTTTCTTTCATCCGAGGGACTTACGATCGTTTTACCAAGTTATACACTTTAATAGTACACACTTTATTTAATCACTTTTCGATATAAATCATTATATTTAATGTTCTTACTTTATATTTGTACTTTATTCTTACGAACATTAAAAAATGCGAATGTTTGAATGCTTGGATTGATGTTTGTTAGGAGGCATCTCGAGAACGACTCGACGGATCTCGATGAAACTTGAAATGGATGTGGAACATTGTGTTTTTAATGCAGCATCGATGGTGTCGGGGGTCAGCTAAAGATGTTTACTGTTACCCAACCTAAGAGAACTTTATTAGACATTCTCTTAGATTCAGCCAAATAGAATAAACCTTGGATATTAATGATTTAATGAATCGTTACAAATGAGACATCTAGAAATACGGCGAAATAAATAAGGGATACAATATTATACATACATACTAGGGATACAATATGATACAATATTTTAATGGTTCATCGCGAAACATTTACAAATAAAACCAAATGTTTCATATTTTACGTTGAAATTTTCAATAAAATTTGTCTCTTTAGGGAAATCAAATTTAAAATTGCGGCATGTTGACGCTTTTCAGCTGAAAATTTTTCACCTGTTCAAATGTTATAAAATGGGCTTTAAATTTTTAAGCTAAAATTTATATTTTTCTTTAAAAAGTTAGGAACAAAAAAAAATACAAAGCTTTAAGCACCTACAACATCAGGAATGTTGACGTCAGCATACCCTCACCGTTTTCACCTGTTTCTACTGTTTTAACAGTCGTGTGAAACATATTGTTATTTAAATTTTAACAAGGAAAGTGAGCGAGATGATACTATATTACTGTATTTCTCTTGTTTATTAACTTAAGCGTCACTCTTGTGACAACGTTCGGAAGTTGAAGACGGCCACAATGCTGCTGTTTGTTTACATACGTTGACAAGCTAGGAATAGGAAATTAATTTATGGTTTGAAATATACACATGAAAAAAAGCTTAAGTCTTTGGTTGTTTTAAACAATGAAATAGTGTTAAAAGGTAAAATAACGTTTAAATGGTTGATTTAATTATTAGCTTTTATTGAAAACCGCAATAATATTACATCTTGTTTCATCCTCGCTATGTTGGAATAAAATGTACATAAAAATGTAAATGTAATTTTATCTAGTTTACATATGCGGCACACTATGTAAATAAAAAGTTATTCACTACAGACTTAATCTATTTAATATCGTATTGTAGCATACAATTCAACTAACTCTGGATTTCCATTAAAAAATTATCGCACAGAAAACATATTGGGTATATCAAATTTTAGAAAGGAATAGATATAGGATATATAGAGCGATGTCGCCATTATGTATTTATGATGACCGATTTGACCTTTTTGTTGGTCTATAATTTTATACAATACGCCAAAATAGTTTGTAACATGATGTATTCTCATAAAGCGATAACCTCAAATGGCTTTGTTCTTTAATAAATGGAATAAATTGCCATAAATGTTAATGTTACTCTCGCACTGAATACAAGAGCCATTTAACACAGCTCGCAAAACATCAACTTGTCTAAAAGTTGAATTCCATTGCTATACACTTGTATTTTTACATATTGTCATCTCTTTCATTCCTTTTGAAAAGAACAGAGACAACATTATGCAGTAATGTTAGTGTCACCGCTGTGGGATTCTACTTTAAGGCGATGATAAACAATGTTCTCTCGCCTTTCTCTCATAACAAGCACTGACCCGTTAAATCTAACAAAGAAAACACGTATTAACTATCCTTCTTTATCTTTATTGTTTGTTAATATTTATTCTCTGCTTATTCTGAAATTTTTCAAGATACACGTAAAATATTATGACGTAGTATGCAGTATTTACTTTTGACTTAGGTATACATTCACGACAAATTGTATGAAAATTATATTAAAGGGTTAACCTAAACAGTTTTATTGTTAACAGTGTAAATAATAAACCCTTGTTTTATTTAATTATTACTTACCTCTTATACATTAAACAGATTTATTTAGGTAATAGTTTAATTAATTGAATTATTAAAAACACTATTTTTTTTACAATTTACTAAGTAAAACTGACTGATTTCTCTTGAGGTTTGTGTTTAATTAATATGAAAAACGTTGTTATTCAATGATGAAACTTTTAGTAATTAGGACAGAGTAAACGTGTTCATAAAATAATAAATTAAGGTTAGAATAATAGATGTAACGTTTTTATAAAAGCGTCGTGTAAAACGTATAGATAATACGAGTATAATAATTACAAATATACCTATTATGCTTTCTATACATTATTTTTACATTCAGAACAATAATATTTAGTAACTTAAATAAAAGATCTCTATTTATGAAAGCAATTAGTATCAAGTTATTCAAGAAAATAATTTCGTGGGAGTATCACTAACAACGTTAGTAATTTGAATTGCTAATTGTTAACAATATTCAAATTCCTCGTGTATTTATTTATGGTACTTAAATACGTAAATACATTTCAGAAGCAAAGTGGTTGAACATTATATTTAAACATTCTCTACATGAGTTACTGTATTTTTTTATTTTCCATATATCGTTATAAGAGTGAAATAGTACATTTAATTTTATTTATTATGTTACCAAGTTGATTTTATTCATCAATACCATAAATAAATTTATAACTGATGGAATTAATTTTTTGTATAGTTATCGTCATATATCTGTGCGGGTAATATAAAGTTATTCTATCAGAGGATAATCTAGACTATTCAAACTTTCGTGAGACATTATACTAAACTGATATAAAAATGGCTAACGGTTATATACGTGAGGTGTTAGCCGTTTTTATATCAGTTTGATAATCTAGACGTTTAATTTTACCACGTATTTTATCAGAGCGAAGCTTAAAGTTTTTCCAAAGCTGCAACGTTGCAACTTTCTTAATGCGCATGAAATAAATCTTAGCTTAGCTCCGGCGACTTGTTTTCGTCACGACCACACGTACCCGCCACAAAGTCTCCTCTTGAAATATAAATCATGTCTGTGAAATATTATGTGTTGTTCTT